AATAAATTTCATTAATATTTTTTTTAACTGTAACTATTCTTTTGTAAATATAAGTATATTTTTGGTATATTTATTTCATTTTATATATAAGTACTTTTTTGGTTCAAAAAAATGTTTAGGGATTTAATCTTTCAAAATATGAAAGTCTATTGTTTTTGTTTTCCATATTTTTTTCATTATTTTATCACATTAACAAGCTGTATAGGTCATAAGGATGTATCTAACATGTTTTAACAAGTCTAAAGAGTTATTTAACAAGTTTTTAATGTCCAAGGCCTTATTTGTTACAAAAAATTGTCCAAGGACTTAATCATTTCAAATACTAAAGTCCATTGGGTTTTTTTTTAGACTTTTGCTATTAAAAATATATCTTTGGCTAAATTATAATAATTGGGTTAAAGTTAAAACGTATATAATCGAGTAAAGATAAAACATGTAAAATTTGATCCCAAAATTTTTAAGGGTCATGTTTCATATCGTAGGCTAACATTGAAACACCCTTAGATTCGACCTATTTATAATTACAATTATTGGGAGTGATTTAGAGTTCGATAATTATGATTGATTGGTCCTTTTGTCGACCAATTATGTAAAACTGTATTTCAACAAATGAACAAGAACCATTGAGTAGACGATGGATGTCTTGTTTTTCCATTTTTCAGTTACATTTTCATTGAATCTGAAAGAGGGATTCGGATAAAAATGATTATCCATAAAACAAGTCACAACTAGATAATTAATTTATAATAATAATAATTCAAGTTGAAAATGATTAGAGAAAAAATACTCCTATCAAGTCATTCACTATCTTTTAAATATATATTTACTCAACAAGTCGAGGCTCAAGGTCAAAATAATGGAACACCAAAAACCACATACGATCATGGATCATATGATACGTTTAGTCGAAAATCACATGCGATATGGTCGTTCTTGTTTAACATTGTTTTCGTCGGCTGGTCTACGGTTGCATACTTCCAAGATCATGTATATTATTGGGAAAGATAGGTTGTATACTTAGCCGGTTGATTATATTAGTTAGAGATAATTACGGATTTGATTTATATTTATCATTAATTATCAAGATTTGTATTGATTTGTTTTAGCCGAT